ATATATATATATATATATATACTATGGTTTTAAAATGTTTGCAAATGGTTTTAATTCCCGGCATCCATATGAGTAGAGAATGCAACACTGTACCTTGCAACCGAGGGAGAAGTCTTCTCTTGTCGGACAGTGTTTGATCATTATGGGTTGAGAGGTTAAGTGTAAGACCATTGAGGGTAATACCTAATGGGTTAATCTTGAATCTGCCCACAGTCTTTGGGTTTTCATAAGGTGGCTGGACCCAATGACCATTTAGTATAAATGTTGGGCCCATTAAGAGCCCATGGTGATGGACTCAGGGGTTCACTGTCTCTTACAGTGAATTCGGCCAGGCCTTGTATCAAAGGCTGGGCTAAACCCATGTGCCTGATGTGTAGATCAATGTTTGGGTCCCGTGCCATACAAGGAGAGTCAACTGGGCAGCAAGTTAAAGGTTAAATGAGCACATAAACTTAATGGGCCTAAAGCCCAATTTGAACTGGGTTAATTAGATTAATTAAATAGGGGCAAATCTGGGTTTGGATTAGTAAATAAAGATAAGAGGATAAGTCTTATCCACTTAGAGAGTCCAGATCCAAATAAAGATTTGGATAAGGAAACTCCAAATTTGATTAGGATCAAGCTGATCTTAAACTGCAAATAAGATAAGGGATTATCCTTATCAATTAAAGAGTCAAGATCCAAATAAAGATTTGGATTAGGAAACTCTTAATCAGATTAGGTGGTTGTCTCTTTAAGGCTATAAATAAGAGAGCAGGGCGGACATGCAAAATACACAATAGACATTACAACAGTCTGCAAAGTTCTTCCYTGTTCTTGCCGCCCCTACCCAGTTCGATCTCCACTTGTGGGAGTGATCAATAATTGTTTTTTATATTGCTTCTTGGTAGAAGAAGCAATCTGAAGTCGTGCTCACCAGCCCTCTACCCCATTCTTGCTGAAGAATTCGGTTCTTGCTGAAGAGTCGTCCTATTGATTCTGCTTCACCTCTCATTGTGTCATCTTCAGTGGAAGCAGTTTTTGGTTTTTTCCTTGGGCGTGAACACCTTTATTGGGAATTACTGTTACTCCGTATTAGGTATATCTCTCTCCTCCCTTTTGGTTTCAAATCTAGTCCGGTTTGGTTCAAGATTGATCATTGAAAATGCAATTTTCTAAAATAGGGAATTCTCTCAGATGAGAGAGAGATAAATTTTTGAAATTTCGCCCAACCTTCCTGCGGGGTTCGACTATCCATACGATGAATATCTCATCCCTTCATGATAAATATTTAGGGTTTTTTTTTTATTACATCATATCTATGGCCATTGGACAATACGTGCCTCTATGGATTTCTTTTGTTACAACTATAGATTTAATTTTTTGATTTGATTGATTTCCTTTTATTTTTTGGGAGACATTGTTTGATTAAGTATGACTTTTCTTGTTGCCTTATCCCTTTGATTTCTTATTCATAGTTTGATATCCACAATGAGTATTGGCTATTAACCTGTTGGTGGTTTTGTGGTTAATGGAAATACCATATAATTCTTGTATTCTGATAAGAATACACCTTGATTGAGACAATTTTTTTTGAGCGGTTGCAATTGATGGGTGAAAACCTATGTTGAATTAAAGGGAGTGTTGAGATAATTTATAGGCAAGATCCCCATGCTTGATAACGAGTTAATGTTACAGGAAAAATGGGATCAAGAAAGTTGTACTATCATGTCATAATTGTTGAATTCTGCAATATCAGTTCTGTTGAACCTTCTTGTTCCTTGAAACTTCTACCTGGATTTGGGAAGTGTAAATTGCAAATGCTTCTAATGCGATAATAATTTCAAGATTTATTAACTAGACAAGATAAATGATTAAATATATTCTACCTCATGGAGATTGGTGGTTGAGATGAACCTCCTGCTTTAACCCTTCCAGTAGTTTCAAATTTCTCATGGAAATTCTGTGTCCGAACCTCTTTTAAATTTGACTTTGGATATTCTCTCTAAGCTGTCAAACTGCTCATTCCCAAAGTCATCCTTCATTGCACCTTCTATAACATGCCTTGGGWGTAAGTAGTGGCTTTCTTAAGCCTTTGGGGGTTTATTGGGGATGCTAACATACTTGTGGTGATATCTTATCAGCCTATATTGTACTTATGCCTTTTTTTTGTTTTAATGAAAGTTTCTCTTTATTCTTCACCAAAAAAAAAAAAGCTATACTTGCATAAAATACTTTTATGTGTAATGCATGATTGATATACATTATAAAATCAGGGGCAGAGCTAAATCATACCTTGTAGGTTCCTTGGCCCATTTTATTATATATGTATGCATGATATACTGTTGGTTGTGTTTTATTTGTTTGTTTTTGATGTAGTGCACATGTGGGTTTTCATGTCAACCTTTTGTTTCTTTTCCTATCTAATACCAGTATTTTTTTGCAGGTCAATTTGGAACAAGGAATTTAAATGTTGAACATTTTCAAGAATTATGAAATTGATGTATCCATCCTGGATGATTTCGATTTTTACGAGGATCATCAGAAAACAATCCAAGAAAGGAAGAAACAGCAAGCCAACTTAATGGTTGTCCCTATTGTTGGTGGCAATGAGCACCAGAATCCAGTCTCACTATCTAGTGACTTCATAAAACAGATGACCAAGAGATTTGCTCAAGTTGTTAGATTGGAAGAAAGTGGTAAAGAAGACTTGATAACAGAGAAGGGTGGCTCTACTGTTGCTGCAGCTATGGGTGCTGGAGTTAAATCTTAAGATGTGTTCATTATTCAAGAAGATTTTTTTAAATGCCTTGTACCATTTTATATGTCAATTGGATATTGTATTTAAGTAATTTGTTTTGGATATTATAATAATTGATAATTTAATTAAAAGCTTTTTATTTAAATTTATTTTTATGTATTATCTGCCATGAGATATATATTAAACAGGTAGTAAAAAAATGTAGAAATCAAATTGATATAAATAATGAAAAAAGAAAGACAAAGTCAGTGGTCATACAACTGCAGCCTTAAACATAAAAAAGACTTAAGGCGGCAATCTGAAGAGATCTAAGCCGACGGTCCAAACTGCCACCTAAAAACAAAAACAACAGTTTGATTAACCTAAGGTGACGATCCAAAGAGATATAAGTCGGCGGTCCAGTCCGCTGCCTAAAAACAAAAGCAATATTTTGACGGACCTAAGGCGGCGGTCTAAAGAGATCTAAGCTAGCGGTCCAAACCACCACCTAAAAACGGAAGAAACACTTCGATAGGCCTAAGGTGGCGGTCCAAAGATATCTAAGCCGGCGGTCCAGACCATTGCCTTTATTAACTCTAAGCTGGCGGTTCTGACATACCATTGGTTTAGGAAAGATTGAACTGTGTCGGACCGGACCTCAAAGGCGACGGCCTTTTCTGTCTATGCTGAGGGTCTTGACCTATGCCGATAGTGGTTTAGGGGGCAGACTCATGACCATCGCCTTAGATCTAAGGCGGCAGTCTAAAGGGCTAAGTCGGCGGTCCTACGGCCGTCAGCTTTGGCCATTTTTCTTGTAGCGGTAGAGCACATTCTATGATATCTACAATAAGAGATCTATTATACAAATCATCATATACACTTGCATGCTTACAAGGTGTAGGTAGGGTGACGGCTAGGTTAGAGAGGTAGTCTCTTTGAAAGACAGAGAGAGACCGTGGGCCAAAGAATCAAGTCGGAGATCAGGGCACGGAAAATGGGTGATGGGATAAAGGATCAGTGGAGGGGATGCTAGATGATTATGTGTGTTTCATTATGAGAATTATCTCTATTTATGGGAGAGACCCAAGATCCTAAAAGGAATGTGTTAAAGGTGTTTGTTTTCTATTAGGAAAGGGAATATTGAATTTGTTGCCAATCATTAAGGGCGTCGCTGGGGTTTTGCCATGTGTCCCATGGGAATCTCTCTGAGGATTTGCTTTCCTTTCACTCGGAGATCCCCATGGCCCACATGTGCTACTGCCCTTTATGCGCCTTACTTAATTGACGTGGCGCTAGTGACATCACCGGCTGGCGGGCGAAGCTTTATTAGACTTACGTGGCCGCCTTGTCGCGCTTGTTCCTTCGAAGTCGCACATGCAGGTGACACCTGGGTTTAGTCTTTAATGAACCGGAATGTCGTAGCATTTGAGAGTTCATCACAGACCTACAATGTACTATAGGTTCATAACARACCTGCGATGCGCTATAGGTCCATCGTAGAGGGAAGGTTGAGTGTAGGCTGATCGCAAGTGTCCGTGCAGTATCAATCTAGTGTTCTTTGTGCTCTAAGAGACTAAGCAAGCATTATATACCTACACAAGGAGTTGGGGGCCAGTTGAAGATGCCAAAGGCCTTAGCAAAGCCCCACAGAATAGCCAAAGTGAAATAGAAATATGTTTCTTGTGCTTGTTTGTGGGTTGCAACCAAACAAATCTCAGGAGAAATTTCCGCCCTTGAAGCGGGCCATCTATGAGAAAAATGACTTCAAGAGAAGCCTTCGCCTAAAGTCCAAAGATATATTCCGCAATAAGATGAGCATTTCTGTCATGGTCTCATGGCCAATCTCAAGGGCCAGCTCAAGCACTATGGCAAATCAAAACGAATGCTTCTCCAATATTTATCATTCCAACCTCTTTCTGATGTAAGTCAAATAGCTCTTTAGTAGAATTGACATTTTGGCAAAGAAATCAAAGAACAATCACTTAATACTCATATTTGTAATGCCTTTTATTGATTAACAAACCCTAGATAGATCTGCAATCAAACTATATAAGAAATTATACCTCTCAAACTCCAAACCATCTACCATACCTCATCTTCCAACTAGATCTTACATCTATGAAACCCTGAGCTTCATAAATAGATCTTAAATTTGGTATCAGCCAAATAGCCTTAAATTAATAAAAGGAACACTTCTCCAGCCACCCCATCACCCATTTAGATTAATTAAAAATACAACCTTATGCATTTGCAATCTTTCAGCCTCCATTTTGCTAAGTTCAACAAAAAACCTGTTTTTGTTTGGTGATGTCATCACTGGTAAACCTTCCATTTGATTTTTGGTTATCACAACGATAACATGATGAGTCAAAGGAGTATCTTAGTGGGTTTTGTTTTGAATTTAATAAATTATAAAGACCTCCCGTATTATAGGGTTTGTGACAGATCGACAAAGACCCCCTAATTGTTAAGTTGATGAAAGGTGTTAAATTACCAAAATACTCTATTTATATTCAAGAGTAGAGGTGAAAATGGTATTTTAAAATCTAAGTTGGAATTCGAGATTTGACATAATTGAATCGAATTTGAATTATATGAATACTATTACCAATCGAATTTGAATAAGAAATTTTTACTGATTAATTTATCGAATCGAATTCGATTATATATTACAACCGGTCATGATTGTAATATATTCATATTTCATAAATATTAATATATTATTTTTATTAAAGTACAATGAATGATTGTTTTTAAAAATTTTAATAATATTATTTTTATTAATTTTTAATTTTAATCTTAACTATGATATATCCAAAATTCAAGTGAATAAGATGAAAAAAACTTTAAATATGCTCTTAATTACTAGTCATCTAAAAAAATCGGAACGAGCATCAAAAGAAAAATCATCGAAAATGATGATTCCTCTCCCGATTTTATAGATTTCTGACCAATTTGGAGATTTCTCAAACCAAACAGCAAAATAATGGAAGAATCGCTGATGTGGTACCGATTTCGTAGACACTGGCATCGGTCCCAACTCCCAAGCACCACGCATTGATGCATTAACTACTATCAACGGCTTTGGTGGCACAACTCCCCAGGAATGAAGGAGCTGAAGCATAGTTTCGAATATATCGACAAACGTATACCAACAACAGTGATCACCTGCTTCACGCAATCCAAGCTCTGGTTTCTGGTCAGTGAAGAGAGAGTTGTGTTGGATTCTCATTTTATCTTCACCTTCTCTAAATTGTTGCATGTTCTTCGAGTTTGGACTTCGGAGCACTAGCAACGCCTGCGACTTGCCCAAAGCCAAACTTATAATTCCACAACCCAATGTAGTTAATTATTAATGACATTAATTGGATGAAAAGCAAAACTCCTGTTGCTAATAAAGTCTGGGCTACCGATGTCAGACCAAGAGTTCATATGGGGCGCCTGTGAAAAGAATTTGGACGACGATGGGCGCGTAAAGAGAACTGGTATTGTTTCTATAACCAAAATTTAGAAGTTCTGATCAGACTCGATCAACTTCATTATTTTGAGCTTTAATCTTCTCTAAATTTAATTACTTGTATTGGGTTTTGTTTTTGTTTTGATCTCAAGGGACGTTGATGACTGCAAGTGCTCACTTAATTACAACTGTTATTGGATCTGGAGTGCTGTCCCTAGCTTGGATTATAGCTCAGTTGGGTTGGGTTGCTGGACCTGCTGCTCTCGTGCTCTTTTCTGTCATCGCCTGTTTCACATCCTCTCTTCTCGCTGACTGTTACAGGTCTCCTGATCCTGTTACTGGCAACAGAAACTATACCTACATGGACGTTGTGAGAGCCAATCTAGGTAACAAATTTAGCTCTGAGAGCACAACATTCAATGAGAAACAAAAGCGAGCCGAGCCCTTCAAAATTCAAATTCAAAACCTTGATATGCCAAGAGGGTGGTGACCTTAAAAGTCTGAAATCTTTGATGGGTTTCTGATTTTAATTTCCTTTTATTTATTGCTTTTCTTCCTTCTTTTTTACTTTCTTCAGGTGGAATCAAGGTTCAGCTTTGTGGAATAGCTCAATATGGAAGTTTTGCAGGGGCTACCATTGGATTCACCATCACCGCATCTCTCAGTATGGCGTATGTAATCAAGCTCCATCAAAGCTTGAAAATTTGTTCTTTTCATTCATGAGCTTTAGCTGATTGCAGATGTGTATTTGTAAATGCTGTTAGAATGGCTGGTGATCGATTTCTTCTTTCATTTTTATCTCGACCAGGGCAGTTAAAAGGTCCAACTGCTTCCACATGAACGGCCACCATGCGAACTGCAAAGTATCAAACTATCCCTACACAATCATCTTCGCATGCATTCAGATAGTTCTGTCCCAAATTCCAAACATTCACAAGCTCTCTTGGCTCTCTATCGTCGCAGCTCTGATGTCATTTTCTTATTCTCTTATAGGCATCGGTCTCGCTGCAGCTAAAATTGCAGGTTGGTAATTAGCAACTAATTCAAAAAACACTGAAACATAGATCGATATGGGATACAGTAAGGGGGATATGATTCCTCTTTGTTGAATGCATGCATGGTGTAATTCGTTTTGCTCAAGTAAGGTGCTCCCTGCTATTTGGTATATTTGCAGAGAGAAGCCATGAAGTAAGGAACAGTTGGAGAGGGGTCGAAGTTGGAGTGGATGTCACAGAGACTGAGAAGGTGTGGAGGATCTTCCAGGCCATTGGAGATATTGCCTTTTCTTACAGCTTCGCTCCCGTCCTCGTTGAGATACAGGCAAGCCAATCTTATGCCATATTCATTTTCTTAAAATAGAAATTTGGTAACAGAAATGCAGCGGAGCATGATTGATACTTGGGCTGCCTTTGGTTGCAATGCAAACGACAAATATGTACACTACATATTTACCCATTTTTCTGTTCATGAATGCAAAAACCATTCACATTTTAAATCGTTTTGGAAATCATCTTGTTTGTTTGAAATGGGTGCAAAATTATGGGCCCATCATTAAATGCTTCAACTATCTTATGCTCCAATGCACCAATTTTGGTCAAAAAGTTAATTATCAAAAGAAAACAAAATTGTATCCAAAAAATAGATAATATGATGCTATCTTCTCAGAGTACAAAGGTATCAGAAAATACATTTTTGCTCTGATAATCATTACTTTTTTACGTTTCAAATAAATGCTCGCAAATGCGAAACCGGGTACATAAATACCCCAGTTTGGCATTTGTATCGCAAACAAATGGAGCCCAAAAAGAAAGGGCTGCATTGTTGCTGCAATAAGTAGCCATATCTATTAGATCAATGCAGCTGATGCTCCTCATTTTTGGTGGTATGTAATATCATGCTCTTAGCAAAACCTGTTAGACARTTTTGTATGCCCTTAGCTTCAATCATTTTGATGTACTTTTGTTATTTAGTGGAAATAAATAAAGTGCATGTTTGATTCATGTTGTTTGGTTTAATTCTGTGTAAAACCCTAAAACTGG